GAATGCGGAAAATCGCAAAGAAGAGGTGCCATTTCTCGGATCCTAAGCCATTTCTCATTGTTCATTCCTGCATCATTGATCACCTGCCCTACTTTGTGATGGCTGCTTTTCATCTTAATATCCACCTCTGAGTTCAGAACAGCTCAGGGTGCTTGAGTCCTTGGGAGTGGGAGGGGGAGATATTCAAGTGGGTGAGCCATTCACAGCAATCAGGACTAAGCATCATGGAGGGGAAGTAACTCTGAAGGGGAATGTGAGCATTTCGTGTTGTCCCCTACGTTTCCCCTTCGCCTAGGCTTAGTACTAGTGTCACCTGTCATGGGACTTGTTTCGAAATCCCTCCCCCCCTCCCCACTCCCCACGCCGCCCAGAAAATCGCACACCTATCGTCTATTAAACTTTTCCCGCGCTCATGCAAAACTTTTTTTCCCGCGCTCATGGTTGGAGGGGGGGGGTACATTCAGGGGAGTTATCTATGATAGCATGTTAGCATTTTTGTTCTCTCCTGGCAATCATGCTCTGTCTCTCTCTCTTGGGCTTAATGTTACCCCCCACCCTCCCTCCAAGGGTATGAGTGCCGAATTGTGAAAAAAGCATCCTGTTATCACTGTAGACAGATTACCCACGCGTCGGATAGATACCGTAATCCGGTTATTCTTTGCTTTGCTGCGGTACCATGAAGCGCGACAACAACGAAATGAGAGTGAGCAAAAGCGCCAGAGTCATGCAAGAAGTTACAAACTTTCACATGCAGTCATTCCATACCCATCCTGGTTACCCACATAGAACCTTCACCCACCTGCCCATGAGGAAGGCACATGGCGGGATGTTCTTCTGCGAGTTGCACGGGAACATCACTGTTTTGGAGCACGATTGGAAGATTGTTTCCATTTTGAGCGCTAGTGCGTCCTATGGAAAAAAACGGCGCACATTGCAACTCGGGGGGGGGGGCATTTAAAAAGCGATTAGGTGACATTAGGACTGAACATTAGCCCAGGCAAGGAGAGAAACCTATGGGAGAACAAGAACTGCTCGCAGACTATCGCGGAATACCTTCCCTTTCCTGAGGCTTTGTTGAAAAAAAAACCGTAGCCCTTGCCTCCCCTAAAGCCTGCTCGCAGGCCCACCGTGAGCAGCCTTCTACTTGAATGACTCCCCCCCCCCGCATCCCTGACGACACTAGCGCCCACAATTCACAGCTAATTCTGCTCTAAGTTTTATTCAAACTCTTGGATTCGTGCAAACAACTTCAAATTTTGTGGCTGACATGATCCCGGCCGAGATTCTTTGCTTGAAATTCGTGATCATTATCTGAAAGTTGTCTTCAATGTCACAGTATCCAGTACAAGATTGAATCACTAGGTCTTACCTTTCGATTCTCATGATCAAAGTAGTAAAGCCTGTCCCGTGTCGTAGAGTACGTGCCCACAAACTTCGGGCTGGTATCTTTCTGCACATCACTAAAACATATCAACTCTGAGTAAACACATTCAAGCATGCCCATGACTGCTTTTGAACTCACTATTTTATGAAAACAAGCACTGAATTATAGAATTGGAGGGCATTGCATCCTTGTACACCGTACCCCTTATCCCAGGTTCTTCTTTCAAACCTGAATATTTTCGCAAATGTTAGGGCTGTTTGAGATAGAAATTCTTCAGAAACAACTCACTTGTACCAATCATCCACTACCAGAAAAAACTGCTTGCATGTGTTTTCTACTCCCCGTAACGTTAAGAATGACATGCAGCTCTTTTTGCCATAGTAATGGCTGAGTGGGTACTGTGAAAATGTGATTTCGTTAAGACCAACGCTGAAATACAAAGACGTCACATAGCTAGAAATTGGCGCTCATCCAGTAAGGGGGGGGGGCATCAAGTGGCTGCCCTCACCCCCACCCCCCCCTAGACTGCCTACACTCCCCCTGGCGCACAGGTTTCTCGAAGTACGGGACCCCGTGAGCCAGGGGGAGTGAAGGCAGTCAGGGGGGTGGGGGGTGAGGGCAGCCACTTGACGTTGCATCACAATGCCCCCCCCCCCCCTCTTACCGGATGAGCGCCTAGAAATTTTCCCCCACTGGCAGCTTTCTCTATGTGGGATCAAATTGTAGAGCACCTTCGTAAAGCAGTTGGAGAGATAAAAAGTGGAACGCATAAATGAGCGTTCAAGTTGGCGATCGTATGTGCACTCAGGCGATTAGGCGATCGCTGCGGAACAAACAAATCGATACATCTCTTGTCGCCTTTCTTATCGCCGCGACTCGCCTTGTCGCCTAGTCGCGCGCCAACTCTAAACGCTCCATAACGGTGGCTCCAATTTGTCACAGACGACACGCTGGGCATCTCGCGAGTTGGCCATGCTGGCATCGAAAGCCTGTCGTTGGCGGCCTCGTTAATCCAGAGCACAGGGTTTCTTTGGCCAACGTCCTCAGTTCGTGATCGTGCATGCGATCAGGCGTTTGAGCGATTAGAGGAGCTTCAAAAGAAAAGCACACGTATCGATTAAGCGATTGGCCGAACAGGCAACTGAGCAATCGCTCAGTGGGCGGACCTAACCAATCAATACTATGCCAGTCTTACTCGCTATCCGCTCCCCTAACTGCCTTGTCGGGATTGGATCCCTTTCCTTAGACCCGGACGCACTATCGCCCTAATCGCGTTTATGGATCACCAGTTTAGCGCCGCACGCTACCGCGCGCATTAAACGGAAGGTCGGGATGAGACAGGACAGCCGACAAAGCGCTAGATTCACCGCTAATAGGCTCTTTATCTTAGCAGAAGCTCACCGTTTGATACGCGCAGTGGAGTGCGGAGCTAAAGTGGTGTCTGTAAACAACCACCATGCATCGAATGCCAGTGTAATTTAGCGGTCGGATTGTGTGTGATGTTAAAATATAAACATCCAGCACTCGTTATCGTATTTTTGGAACTTACACCATACATTTTTAGGAACTCTGGGGGGCATAGCGGTTTAGTGGTATTTCGGGCTGATGATAACAACGCAAATGAAAGAATATTGAAATGAAATGCTTTATCTAAAGTCTGGTTTTGAGTGACCTCTATATTCTTGCGCATATCGTTATTATCGGCCCTTATCAGCCGTTATCCCTTTCTTTTTTCCACCATATATGTTCCCGTCCTACCCTACATCACTTCTTCGGAACAACGCCTCACTGATGCTGGGACGCGCGCTATGGATATCGTGGAATCGGCGTTTTGGCGCCTCTTATCGGATCTTATCAGTCGTTATCACTTTGGGTCCCCCACCAAATATGTTCCCGTCCCACCCCCTACAACATACTCAAAATACAGCGCTCCACTGTTGCACCGAAGGGCGCTATGAATTTCACACACACATACACACACACAGACCTACACACACAGACATACTTAGCGAATTATATATAGTAGGATGTTGTAGGTATACATATTCTAATGTGTGGTCTACCGTAGTCAATTATAGACCACCTTTTAGGCGCCAAACTCTAGGATTTGATCTGGTGTTAACACAGTTTGACCAGGATATTTGACCAGGTCAACTACTATATAAACCACACTTTCATTGGATGTCATTGTATTCTGTTCGTCTCGTCTAATAAATCTTCTCCGTTTGACTCCACTTCAGAACACGAACTGTGAACGCTGCTTGAAGCGATCAGTTTATAAAGGAGGGTGAGTATTAATTAGCGCGCTCCGCCCACCGAGCGGCGTTGACAGCGTTCAGAGTAGGCGATCGCACATGCGCTCTGTAGAGTTGGCGATGAGTCCATATGGAAGAAGGCACGTATCGATTGGATGACTAGGCGACTAAGCGATTAGGCGATCGCTCAGTGGGCGGGGCAACCAATGTATGTGTATCGTTTGTTGTCGCCTACTCGCTTACTCGCCTAACCGCCTGCTCGCGTAATCGTATACCCGCATAATCGCCTAATCGATACGTATGCTTTCTTCTGCAATAATTGCCTGACGCCTGCGCGATCGCCAACTCTAAACGCTACCTAACTTCCAGCTGGTGGCCGACAGAGTTGGATGTGGTCGCAATCAACACAACTCATTAAACTGATACCGTGACAGAAAATGCTAGTTGTTAGACTTGCTAGCGGTCGACTTCCCGCATTACACACACGGAACATTTTGTAGCAAAATCAGCGCTGTCTTTTGTCTCACTTCCAGCATTTTCGCATCATTCTCCCAGACTCGTTTTCCGAACTCTGGAGCTTTCAATGAGCCCTCCCTTTCCTTTCACTGTAGGAGCACTCCCACAACATCCAGGTTATTGCTGTAGACTCAATCTTTCACAACAATGCTTGGTGCCATTGCCTAATTGAGAGCGCAACTCACCGAACTCCAACGCCCGTTAGCTCTTCCTTCTTAACAGAAGCTTGATAATCATACACAAACAGATAGTTGTGTCCATGTCTGTCTGCATAAGCAGTAACGATCTGGAAAAGAATGGGATAAGCTCGGATACGTGTGCCTTCCCCTGGGAACCACTGACATGGTTGTCGCACTCACCGGCCTCATGGGGTCCCACTTCATTGCAAGGGACTCTTGAAGATGTAATATCACCACAAGGACAACCGGAAACGC